AGGATAATGGGTTTGAAGTCTTTTAAGTATACATACCCCAAAAAGGATCTTGATTGATTTTTCTGATTATTTTTGTCACTTCAAGTCCAAGGTGCATAAATCTAGAACCTGATAAACTTAAATTTATTGATAAAAATATCTCATGATTTGATGAAAAAGCAAGCATTAATGTTGTCTTTAAACAGCATGTAATTTTTGCGATCTCCTCACTTTAGAAAAAAAATTTTTTAGAAAGATTTAAATATTGGTATTTTGGTAATATTAAGAATAAGAGAACAGAAAATATCACAAATCAGCTGATCTAAGTAGAAAGGGGCTTTCTTAGTGATTTCCCTTTCAATCACACTCAACATTTGTATGAAGAGATGAAATCGGATTTTGACCAGCCTAAGATAACATTGTGAAATCCTTAAGACTAGTTGGGATAGAAGATGATCATTCGTAGAAAGAGTATTGTGTTCTTCCCCCCAGTCAAACAGGAAACGTGACCCAAACAAGGATGCTAAACAATCCTCTTCAAGAGAGCATGTTTGTGGGTCTGAGATGAACTCTTGTTTCACAAGTTAGCTTTCCTCAGTGAATTCAAAAATCGATTGTCTTGGTGAATGTCTTGGATTGGGGGGAAGTCAATACAACATGGAAACGGTGGCAAAAGTCAAGGGTATTGTTTTTCAGTGGGGCGGTCGATTGTCAGCTCATTTGCATAGATGAGAGACAAAGATTTAGGGAGTTTTGGTGTTCTGTTTCCGTGGGGATACCCTGGCATGTACACTGGCTTGAAATCGTACACACTGTCTTGAAGATTAGCAGGCGTATCAATGGTATGAATGGCAGTGCCTTAGTAGGATACTGATGTAGAATGTGTCGGGACTAATCCTCAGATAACAACAATTCATCTGTACAGTTTGGATATTTCCTCTTATTCCTAGTGGTTGCCGGGAGGAGATTATGCCTTATTTAGAGTTACTTTAAATTATGTTTGCTTATTTTATTCTGATGGGTTCAAAACATCTCCCAGTGAAAATTAATCTCTATAAATGTATCAATGGCATCTTCCTTCTTTTCTTCAATTGATTAACAATGTGATTGATGCAACATGTATTTTCCTCACCCCATGGGCTTAATATCTTGAGCATAGTATTCAACAGCATAAGCGTAATGAATGAAATTGATTTCTTGGGGTTATGATTATAAATCCTAGAAATGTTAACCAGTGCATGACAACCCTAACAGTATTCATACAACGTTTGAAAAAAACAAGGAGAATCATTGAAACGGATAATGAGTACAAAGTCTACGTCCGGCCCGGTAAATGTCATGTACGCATTCATGCATTTTAATGATTTCACCGAAAGACGAAGGAGAATGTAATTTTTGTCTTTCATGAATTTCAAATATTTACGGCCTTATGCAGCAGTAATGGTTATCGGCATTTTTTAGCCCAGATGTGCCGACACAACCAGCTCGTTCCACCAAAAGATGCTAATTTCCGCAGCCATGTGTGTGATTTCATTTGATTCGCTACATTGGAAGTGCAAGCAATTAGGCAAGAGGACAAAAAGGGCACATCAAGCTCAAGGCAAGAGATGAAAAGGAAGAGGACCCAATTCAGGTGGGACTTGTCGGGTAAGGTGTTAGCAAGCGCTTGGCAATATGGACATAACGCAATCAGGCGAATTCAGTGGTCACGTGATGTGATTACCATTGAAGGGAAACGGCGAAGTATTTGAAAAAGAAAAGGCGAGGCGCTGACCCGATTGCTAATCAAATTACTTGCAGCTGACCACTTTACTGGGACAGTCTTTTCCCTTCTTTGACTAGTTAGCGACTAAGGAGTAGTCTTTTTCCCAAGTGCTGTACTTTCTTTTTAATCCTTTCCCTTTTCTCTCTCCTTCCTAACTCCTATCCAAAGTCTCTGTATGAAACCTAGACTACCAGTCTTGTGTGAACATACTGATCATCACTGGCATGAAAATTCAGAATCACTCCTTTTCGTTACATATACTTTTAATATTGAGTTTAGACAACTTGTTCAAGGCGTTGAGTTTTGGCCATTTGGAAGATATTGTCACATTTCCTTTTAGACTAATTGCTTTTACGGATTCTCTGGAGAAATTCAAAAAAGATTTGGTGATTTTTTTTTCTTCAGTTGTATCGGCCATTCTCTGCATATAATTGTGATTATACATTGAATTCACCATAGACCACAGAGATATGCTTGGTGTGTATAGCAACACGTCAACTGTCAGTTTGTTTCAGCTAGTTGATGCATTGCAGTAATGACCCATATTGTGCATTGGAGGCCGATCAATTGCCATGTTACATCAGTGAGGGCTCGATGAGTACTGCAATGTCAATCAAAGAGAAAATATGTCATCTAGCTCATCAGCAACTCGTTCATTTTCCACAAAGAAAGCAGATTTATCCATCCATTTCAAATTGTTTTTCAATCCTGGATATATGTGGTCATAAGTCTAGCTTTGATAGATGAATCTTCCATATGTTTAATCTGAAAGGTGTACCGTTCTAGAATCCTTGATTGCTCAAGTAACCGTCACCCAAACCAAACCCTAATCACCGATTCAACCTTTGCGTGCCAAGTCAGCAGATTGTCATATCTTAATTTCTTCCAATCGTCTGCTATTTCATCTGTTTGTACCTGTCAAATCTGTCTTCCTCTCTCCTTTTCTCTTTGACTGAGGTATGGGAAAAGCATATCGTGTTTTTTTTTCCTTCTTCACTCAAGTGGGGCTCAATTATTTTACTTTTTTTTTGTTCGTTCAATTTTCCCAAATAGCCAAGTGATCGTCTGCAGCAAGGTGTAAGCGACACCGCCAAGCATTTGAAAAGTTTGATCCGGCATTCAGCACTCGATGCGAAATTGGTCCCTGTGCGTGGGTTATGTGGCAGCACAGCGTGATTTGTTTTCAGCTTTGTAGAGTGGATGGGACGGTCTCGAGAGACTCCCAACCTAAAATGAGTATCGTCTCTCGTGATCAATAACCCTAGCATGCTGCACGCACGCGACGACCGACCGGCGTAAATTACGCCAATGTGCCACACTGATTGGCCAAAATAGAGGAAGCGTTTTGGGAGGTTTCACATGAACCAACAAATTATTGGTGATTATGAATTTTTGCGGTAAGAATGCCTTCCTGGGCGTCTCATGGTTGGGGGAAATGAGCCCGGTATCATGTGGTCCTCTATGGTTTCACCTATATTAGATCAAAATGGGAAATTTCTAGGATTCTAGAAATTTAGGATGTGACTGAGAGAGCAGTGACATGAATCAATGACAGAAAGAGGTAGACTGAACATGATGCACCAATCAATTTAGTGGGTAGGTGAGAAATGAAGAAGGTCAAATTGAAAACATTAATGCCTGAAGTCAGAGAAAATGAAATCTAGAAAAGCATGTTTTTAACAGTAATGTTATACTGTGTTATATGTCCTCATCTGCCAGGTACTTTTCTTTTCTTTAAAATGTTCTCAAACTTTTTTTAATTTTGCTCATGCACCGCTTTGATGCCATCATTCTTGAAATAAGAACCCTTCAAGAGACCTCTTTCCAATCAAGGTGCTTGCTTCAAGCTTCTGATTTACAAGCTACTATTCACTAGCAATATATTGACCTATAAACTGGATGGTGATTTGTGCTCTTCCTCCTCACGTGTCATCTTAGACCGCAAATCAGCAAAAAATCCTTAAGCAGCTGGATATAATCTGGATTGTTCAACAAGATGTTGATTGCGACTATCCTTTTTTTTTTTCTCCTCTTTTTTTATACCCCGCTTCTTTTTCCCCCGATTAACGTGTAAATGTAAGGTATCCATGTTACACAGGTGTACATACTAGGTCAGGATAATAGGGTTGGATCCTGTTTTCTAAAGGTTTGGTTTCTGAGATTTATTTTCCTCTCCTCCCACCCCTCTGCTCCCGTTGAGATCTAGGCATGAAAGTTGAAACTGGGCAGGCAGAGGATCAATCGAAAACAACCACTAGCCCAGAGCCAAAAAGACATCTAGGAAATTGCATCTGTGGGGCCTGCGAGGCGAAGCGTATGATGTTCTAGAAGGAGTTTGAAAAAGGGAAGGAGAAGTCGCAAGAAAAGAGGGCTGGAGGGGGAGGGAGGGAGAGAGAGAGATGAAGACTGGTATTGACTATTGGAATGTCCATAGCATTTTATCACCATGCCTATCGCTCTTTGCAAATCAATTGCAGACATGCAGCAGGGGTCAGAGTGGTAAATTGGCCCGAGGGATATAGAGCACACCTAGGATAGAGGAATGTATAATTACTGATCAAGAAAAAGAAAAGGCTCAGAATTAGGACACAGAGGAAAAAAATAATCATTTCCTATCAATTCATTCAGGGTTTCATCCGCCATCTCTATCTGTTTCCTGCAGACCAGGTTTAGTAAATCGTGGGGCTCCCACTTGGCTGTATCGGATGTTTATAAGAGCTCTCCTAGATGGAGCTGGTTAAAAATTCATTTTAACGATTGCAAGCCCCCAGAAGGAAATGAAGTTCCCCTCATTGAAGAGGGGGAGGAGCAGGGGGAGGGCATTCATTCCGAAGCTCTGCTCAAATTGGCCGTGAGCTACGTATTCCTCGATCCGTCAATAACGTTTCATGTCGATTACAAGTTGTAGGATGGCGGCGCTATCTTGTTTTCTTCTCTGATTCTGTCCCACCGCCTGCCCAAGGGGTTTGACCTTTTCCCAGACGATGCGACATGCCGGCGCGTGTGGAGCGCACACAGACAGCCCTCGGTCGCAGGTGTGAACACATATAGTTACCTAGATATCTAACTAGGCGTTAAAAAAATAAACAAACTACAAGCTTTTTGCGCCTTGAGAAATGATGAAAGTACGTGTGGCATTTTGTTTTCCAAATTGAGTTTTCTGACGATGCTATAAATGTAATGTCTATCAAAAGTCCTCAGATGTTGGATTGTATTAACCCTATCTTGTATATTTTATTTTTGTCTTAAATTGCAGATTGATCTCAACAGCATAGCATATGATGATGGAAGGTTAAAAGAAGGAGATCAAATTCTACAGGTATGAAGTTGATCCTTACTTACACTGCTGTAATAAAAACGATGATTAGAAGAAGAAAACAACTTTTTTAAATGACTTAAAACTATAGTATTAATATAAAAATTAATATATTTTACAAGAATGGGTACAGAGATAGATTATAAGATAAAAGTACAAAATATATATCAAATTGTGTAACTGCTATGATTGCTAGAAGTAAAACATCATAATTGATTTATTTCATTATCTATCTTTTTACAGATTAATGGTGAAGATGTAATAAACAAGGATCAAGCGTTATCACTTTTCCTTCTTCAGACTCCATGTACTTCACTATTAGTTTGCAGACCACAACTTAGGGTAAGCTTATTATTTCCATATTTTGTTTGTAAAGAGTTGAAAGATGGTAAACTTGTGTAAGAGTAGAAGAGTTAACTCTCTTCTGGCTCTCGATCTACAGACAATTTCCTCTCTTTAGAATGTTGTTATTATGATTATTCATGTTCTGTCAAAATGTTGGTGATTGAAAGAGTGGTAAATGAACGTATTGCTGGAATATTGTGTCAACTACTTGTTGTTGGGTGTAGTCATATCTGAATGAGTGACTGAATGAGATTGAAACAAAGATACAATGAAGGAGTAATGAAGAGATAATGAATTGGATTAATCGTGAGACTGATAGATCAAGTCAAGATTAGCGATGCAGCTGTATGTATGCGGTCAAATATAATCATATCTTTCAGGTATTCTGTGACTTGCCCCTTTTGAAATTGATCCTCCACAAACGCAAGGTCAACCGTCCACATTTCTCTATAAATAGAACCATTCTCTTCTTTGAAAATAATGATTCTAACCTCGGGCAGAGATCTGTTTTGAAAAAAACTATCAATACCTTTATTGCTGACTTTCTGGCATTGATTTTTGAGTCTGGAATGACCTGATGGGTTTTGAGAAGAGATAATCCTCGAGTGTTCTCCCTTATGACTGGTAAGATATGTCCTTCAGGAAGATCTATAAGCTCGTACCGAAAGTCAATTTTCGTATTAAATTCATTGTACAGAATAAAAGCATTAAAAGCTCTTAGCATATTACCTCGTGCGATATATTCTGTCTGGCAGTGGTTTCAACTCGACAGTTCTAAAGGAATACCATCAAAGTCCATTTTGATGTATTTTTCATATTAAATATCAAGAAACCCATTCCGTGCTCTATATCCTTCTGTCACATGTATAAAATAGAAGAACGATTCTTTAGATACGAGAGGGTGAAGAAATTGAAGGAGAAGCAGGAGACAGAGAGAGAGACAGAGAGAGAGGGAGGGAGATGGAAGGAGATGGAAGAGAGAGAAGGAGCAGAGGGATAGAGAGGATGGAAGGAAATAGCTTTTATTTGATTATCCAATTTTAGAAGAAGACGCGAGAACAAAATTGAGTCATTTGTAGATTTTTTGAGAATGGCCTGGTGAAACCTTATCTTGCTAATGTGTAAATGGATTTGCAGGTATCTTGAGAAGAGGGAGCTCTGATGTCTGCTGCAAAACAGGGGCTTGCTTTCTTCCTAGTTTTTATCAGTAACTCTATTTTTCCTCCATTTATTCCACAATTTTTCTCCTATCAGCCTCCCCCAGTGCACTATGTTATCTTTCCCTCTCTACCTCTCATTCTTCCATTTCTTCCATATCTTCTATTTGTTTTATCTGAGCATATTCTTAATGTCCTTCTCTAAATGCCATCCCCTTTTAGATGATATTCAATTTCTTCATGTATCTTTTTTTCACCCTTTCATAGTTTCCTCTGTTCATTTCTTTCCTACTCTATATCCTGTACATTCTTCAAGATATGAACTGGTTATAACTTTTGCTTTTTAATGATATCTTTCTTGCATTGTTAGCTTTTGAAACATAGCTTGCAGTCTTAAAAGTTTTGCACTTGCTCTCTCTTTATGAATGCTCATCGGATTCAACTCTCCTCTTACCGCATCGATTCTTCACATCTCCAAGATGTCCCTGTATTCCTCTCTTCTTATCGCTAGGAAACCTGAGTCTTTGTCATGTAACAATAATGGATCCGTAATCAAATTTACCTCACAACATGGGCTATCGCAGAGCAATTCATGCTATTTTAGGGCAAAAAATAATCAAATCTAAGCCTCCTCATGCGGAATCAATAGCATTTACAAGTATGTGGGTGTATCATGTTTTGGTTTATAGCATCATGAAAAACTTCCACTTGACTACACCTGAGATGTGACCTGCCACAATTTGTGATCCTTATTTGATAAAGATGGAAAAAGTTGATGTTATAACTATCTGATGATGCGTATTGCAGTGAGACATGATAGCAGGTATAAAAGAAGAGGGGCAAAGTTCAGGATGTTGTATAAGAAATAATTTAGCACTATATCCATGTCATAATAAATTATGTAAGAACAGAAGTCGTGGAAGAGACTGTTCAGTGTTCTGTCATTGTGGTAATTGTTCACTTAATAGTAATAGGTATAACCTTACCTAGATGCTTATAGAAGAAAACTTTGTTTAGAAAGGACTCTAGTAAAATAACAACCTCTTCTGATGTTTTAAGATATGAAGTGTAGCAAATACCACTTTATGTAATCAAAACTTTAAATTTTAAGAAATCAAAAGAAACATTGAAACCATGTTTGGTAATAAAGATGTTTCATTTATCAACATTCATACCAACATTTAATGTACTTGCTTTCCAACAATATAATTTTGATCATGTTATTAAGGTTTAAACCTCAAGCATATACGACAAAGAAACAAAATTTCCATCGAGTTTGTTTAACGAATCCATAGCATTTAGTAAAGGTATAGTGCTACTGGTAGAGTTCACCCATTATGAGATGGCACAAAGCATGGCTTTCTACCTACGCAGGTTACAAATAGAAGTACACACAAATGGGCAAGTCATCACCACTGCTGTGAAGCTAATGTAATAAGTGGTAATGGTCACAGCAAGTAGGTCAATTATGACATGTCTTCTGGCAAAATATTTGGTTGTCAGCTTGCTTTTGGTGGAATTTCCAATAACTTGTGGAGAGGCGGGGATCCATGTACTCGCTGTGTATCTTAACTCTTTGAATGCCGAGCCTGAGATAAGTTGAGCTGATAGACTGTTGCAAATGCAGGTTATATCAAAGTCAAGTTTTATGCACTCACTTCATTCAGATGCAGTTTCTTTATGGGTAAATTCCTGTGATTTTCCTATGATATAGAATTATACAATTCATTAAATTCCTCAATTTTATGCTCTTCATTCTGAAAGATATCTGTATCTTTTTTATAATTGTAGCCCAGGGCCTTTAATTTCTCATTCTGATCACAGGTTAAATGGTAGGACATAATGGGATGCTGATTTCCAATGTATTATCTTCATTGGAATAGCCAAAGTATGCTTTGCTTATAGTTCTATCATGAGAAATTTTGAAGCCAAACTGTTCAGGGGAATTTGAACATACACATATCCTTAGGAATTTGGAGCTAAAATATGTTTAGTTAATGTCCTTACATGGGTCTATCCTGAGCTGAGGTATATTTTGAAGCTGAAGTATGCTCAGTTAATGTTCACAGAAGAGTTTTCCTGAAGAATTTAGAAGTCAAAATAATTGTTTTCTGTTTATTTTCTCACACACATCTTTCCTGAGGAAGCGTGAAGCAAAAATATGTTCAGTGAATATTCGGAATGGCAGACTTCATGAGACCAGTAAACCCTAGAATGTCTCTGTTTGTCTTCATAGCGTTCGTTTGGTTAACTCAATGTGCCAGAATTCCTTCTCTCTGTAGACTAATGTTTGGACAAGAATCTGAGCTGGTTACCCTTGACATTAGACCACCCATGAAAACAAACTATGTTCTGACCATTTGTAACCCCAAGGGGTACGCTTTTCTTACCCCACCCTTACCCGTATTCCCTTCATCATTCCATGTATGCATGTTTTGTCATCTCCAATTGCTCTGAAATGTATTTCAAATAGGAAAAATGTATACATTGAGTTGCCAATGAGGACATTACTTCATTGCTAATTCCTCTGAAACAAATGGAAGAAAAAGGAATTTATTCACAGAAATATATCTCTCATTAAAAAAATATGAGAATGCTATTTTAGGTGGGAGGGGGTGGGTTTACAGGTGAGAATAGTGACTCTTTTGAAGAAGGAAGGCTCTATTTGCTTGTATAAAATATCAAAGTTCTAAACCAAGAAGGGGAAGTTTGTTTGTATTTTTGGTTTTTAAAGTAATATAAGCCTAAATGTCTTTGACAAAAATTTCAATTACCGGTAGCAATGTCATTTTAAGAACCAGAATGTCCTTCTCCCATCTTAGTGTTGTGATCTGAAATGTAAAATATTTACAATATATTCCAGTGGCTTTCTCTCTTCTCTCTCTCAATATTTGCCCCTGCCTGGAGAAACTATTGGCTGAACGGGGCTACTTGTTTGACATGGGACCACCCGGGATTACAATGTCCTGCCTGTACACACGTCATAGGGGGTAAGGGTGACCTCATAGGGGCGACCTCCTAGGGGCAGGGGTGTCCCCATAGGGGTAGGGGTCTCCCCCAAAGTACAGGGTTACATTTTTGTTTGTCCTTGCTAATAGATTTGGTAATGTTCAAGAGTAATGTGTACATTAATGCTTTATCTTTATACTATTATGGAGGATTGAAGTGTCCACTTAAGTACAGGGTTATATTCTTGTTTGTCCTTGCTAACATAGTAATAGGTCCATGCTAATAGGTAAATGTTGTGCATAGAATAGTTTATGTAGACTAAACATGGACATTTCAAGGAGGAGGCTATTTCACGCAGGAAAGGTAATAATCCTCAGGCAAGGAGAGAGTAATCTTAAAGAAAATGTTCCTTGATACAAATAGTTTTCATCAAGAAATAATAAATGTATTTGGTTTTATTCAAGACAAGTAAAGATATTCATATACCCGGTAATTTATGTCTGATATTGAATTCAAAGGAATTGATGAATTGTTTTTGACAAGTATAGCTTTAGGTAGATGTTGACAAGATTTGCAACTGAAGCATATTTGGGAGACATAAGGAAAGGACATTGACTTGCAGGAGAAGGTAAAGGTTTATTACTTACAAAATGATGGTTCTTTTTTTAAAACTTTGACCGACCGTCAAGCCTTAGTAATTTCACACACACACACGTTAGATGGGTGTTTGCATCTTTCTCTGTATGTTCTTTTCCTTTCCTCACTTTCTATGTCTTTTAGTGTATTATGTTGCCAGGTAATTACTGCCTGCAGCTCTTGCTTATTGCATTTTCTTTTCTTTATCTCTACTTTAAATTAAAGCCCATTCGCTTTTCTTGGCTTCTCTTTCTC